CCTATATATATTAGTGATGATCCCAATTTGAATTCCTTAACCAAACTCTTCTACATGCTTAAAAATCTGAAAACGATTATCTTCGGAAATACTATCATTGACGCTCATAAAATGCCATTACTATACCCTAAACATATGCATTTACATTCAGAATATTTTTTAAAACCAATATATTTTAATCAATTTTATCAATATATATAAATTTGTACATTCAAATGATCAGCCAGTATTAAAAGCATGACACATGCGTCAAGATAAGGACGTTAAATTATTCCCTAGAATATGAAATACTTTTGATTACAAGAACTAAGTATATCGGTTCAATAAAGAAATTACAGTTACTTATAAACCTAAAATTTTTATATTTTAGCACTATCTTATTAATGTCTTTTTATTTAAATTTCATATTTTTGTAAAAGTTTTTATTGCCCATCAAGTAGGACCCTGAAAAATCAATATTTTCGGCTAATGCGCTGTCCTAGAATATTAACTTCGAAGCCCGATCTAGGAATATCTTAAATTTCTAGGCTCGGTCCTAATTTAAGAACTCAGCTTAGCCTAAATTTTTTTTAAAAATGTAAATTTATTATAAAGATTATCATACATAAATTATCATCTTATTTTGATAAAAAAAATTTCTAACACGGCCCGCGGATTTTTTTTAGTTACAAACTCGCCAGAAAATATTAAAAATTTTTAAGCTTAAGCCGGGCTTCGCTCTGAATTGCAGGATTCTAACAAAAGAACCATCATATAGGCCTTCTTAAACCAGGATTTCCTGCGAAAAAAATTGCATTTTCATTGGTTGATGATTATAGAATAATTTTAATGTTTTATTGTTTAAATTTCATAATGCACAGAAAATTTTGTAAAAATAATCCATATAAAATAGAGAAAGATAAAATTTATAGTGATGTGTTTGTTGTTTTCTTAAATTTAGCCAAAATATTTACGAAAATTGAAACCTAATTTTGATAATTTTAACATGGTTCTTTGCATTTTTCTTAATGTACAGAAAATTTAAGATAAAATTCTAAATTAAATTTTGTAATACGTTAGTTGTTCAAAGCAGGGATCAGGTCCGTACCCGGATTCAAGGCTCTTTTTTTCGAACCCGAACTGAATCAAAAATATTTAAAATTATGAACATGGACCAGAATCCTTTTTTTCCCAGAACCCGGATCGAGATCGGGTTTAGGAATTTTTTTTTGTATTTTATGAATAATTAAATCCTTAAAAAATTAAATAATATAAAAATAACAAATTAATTATTTAGATTTTCCTGGAGCGCGCATAAAATTTTAAGCTATTACAAATTCAATTATATATCTAAAATTTTACACATAAATTTGAACAAGGCATTATATTATATATAACATTACTATATATATAAATATTATTTATTAATTTTATAATTACTAAAATGATCTCAATTAAATTTACTAGTACGTGATTTGATACTTTGAGTTTAAGTTATTTAATCTTATAATCTCAGATTATCTTTATCAACTATATTTTTTTAACAGATCTACTAAACAAGGGAAAGAGACTTATAAAAATGCAAATATAATTTAATTCAATATTATTACTTGATATTAATAAATTATTTTTGAAAATTATAAGTTACTTTCTAAAGCCAATTTATCACATTTATTTACATTTTTTTATATAATATTGATTTGTATTTTCTTAAAAAATTATGAATCTGGACCGAACCCGAACCCATAATGAAACGGTTAATGATGCTTAATACCTTAAGGTACCATCTATCAAATTTGAATTTTGTTCATTTTTCATTTGGATAGGCACTACCAAATATATTTATAATATATATTTGAAAAATCGTGATTTTTGGAAAGCCTTTATAACCTAGTAGGCAAGAGCTTGGCTTACTTATCCTATGCTCCCGGGTTCGAATCCCGGAAATGTTCATGTTTTTTTTCTTATTCTAACTTGGTGGTTCCATCCTTGGGGGGATGATATATAGAAGGCCGGACTCGACCACGTGATTCCGTATTAATATATTAAATAATAAGGGTCTTATTACATTTTAATAAATTTTGGTCGGTATTTAGCAAATTGGATTGGTATTTAAAATATTTCCATACATTCACTTGGTAGTAAGCATCATTAACCTAATGAAACTTTCTAGACCGAACCCGAACCCATAATAAAACTTTCTAGACCGAACCCCTTTTTAAAATTTTCCCTGAATCCGGATCTGGACTAAACCTGGTTGCATATTTCGATGGGTCCAGAACCCTGGTTCAAAGTGATGATCGGTCTAAAAGATAGTTTTTTCCTACCACATATAAGTTCAATTTTCACTAAAAATATTGGTTGATGATAATGTGCAGTTACTATACACCATTTTTCATAAATTTTATTAAAAAACCGTGCACATGTGTGATATATTTGGGTAATGTTTCAGTTTGAGACATCTTAAGAACTCGCTATGAAAAATTTTGGTAAATTATAAATATACAAAAAATCGTCGTTTTTTAATGATTGCTGGTGGGTGTAGGCGCTTGGTTTAAGAGATATCAAGTAAAGGGGTGACTGTTTTATTCCTGACAAAACCCAATTTTTGGGATTTCCCTTTTCTGACATGAGCCAGCACGAGGAGTTAGAAATATGGTAGCAATCTACGTATACTGGGAGGTTAATATATATTATTGAACAATAGTTTTATGTTTAGTCACTGTTTAATAAATTATTACATTATAATATGATGAACTTAGGGAAAGGTAAGATTTCTATCAGATTATCAATTTATCCCTTTACAACCATTTTAAAAACTGGACTTCAAGATTTTATAACTTTGTATAAAAATTTTAAGTTATTTATTTAAAATGTTTTAGAAGCACAATACTAATAATGCCAGTACAAGATTTAAATATCCAAAACTTTAAAAGCTTTGAACACCCTGCGGTTCAACTATGCATATCTCATTCACTATGCCCTTCCACTTTGTTTTTTTACTATTAATTTCAGAATAATATGTAATTATAAAATGGATACAAAAAATTACCGCCAGGATTATTAACATTCTTCTCTATTTGGCTTATCAAGAGTATTTTAAAAAAAATTTCATGTAAAGTAGAAATAGTATAAACTACTTTTTAATATACAGAAGTCTTTAACTTTTTCCAATATAAAAACTTATTGGCTCAAGACAGTAACTAAAATATAATATTTCTATTTTGCGTGTGAAGTAAAAAATAAGGCACCTGAACTTAATGTCTTAGAATTTTATAATAACAAAAACTAACTTGGCCTAAAACATAGTAATTAACAATTTTATAATTAAGTAAATACAAATATCAGTGTCAAAGTTTAACTAGACTCAAATGTCTTCGAATTTTCGAATGCAAGAAATTTTTAAGTAGGCAAAATATCAAGTATTTTTTGCACATTCTATTTTACTTGGGGAGCAAAAATATATTCAGCTTTAAATTTTTATTAGACCCACAAATTTTAGAACTTTTTTTTCTAATAAAAAATTAAATCAAAATTTGAAAGAAAAAAATATTTGGAATTTCTTTTAATAAAAAATTAAATTAAAATTTGAAAGAAAAATGAATATTTAATTATTTTTTAAAGTTGTAGATTATGATAATTAAATATAAACAAACTTCTGGCAAAATTATTTGTAATCATGAACACTTAGAGAAAAATATATATTTAGGTGATACGTGATTGATAGAGCTATTCCCTCTATAGTTGAAGGTTAAACAGTGCTACGCTGGGTATACCTTATTTCCATCTAACTGGAATAAATTAAGTTGTGTGAAAAATTAAAAATGAGGAGGCATTGTTAAATATATATTTGATAATAAACATGTTTATCATAATAAATATTCAAGTTGCTTAATACTGATGAGCGATTTTAAGAACCACAAGCCATTGAAGAGGCTTAGGAAATAATCGAAATCTGACCAAAATTGTGAATAACCGACTATCAAGATGGGTCTGGAAAATGGTTAATTATAATTTTAAAATAATATATAAAAGTCACTATCACGATTACCCATGAAGGTAACGGAAATGAATAATGAGGCAAAGTACGCTCGGGAAATACCAAGTATTAACATGAATGGTATGATAACGGCTCAAATAGGAGATCAATAAAGATAAGCTAAATAAGGTAAAAAATTATATAGATCTAGCTTGGTCAGGATTTGATAATAACGCAGATTCAGAACTCCAACCGTTTGCAAGTAAAGAAATGAGCTATCCTTAGATAACGGTATAATAGAATGAGATTAGTTATTCCAAATGTCTTGCTTAAAGAATTTTTAAGGCACCTCCATATGCGTCATCCAGGAATTGAAACCATGAAATCAATTTAAAAGCCTTCTACACGTTTGTAGGCAAACCATATATACTTGTACCAACAACAGCCCGTTAGACAGTCATTTAAATGTCCATAGGCTAAGATAAAAACAGTTGGGTAAAGTAAAAACCTAACCCGAGAACTACGCATATAATTAATTACTTTATGAGGTAGGGGAAGGGCTGATTTTAAGTGTCTATGTTAAATAAGTAAATTCTGTTGGTATTAGTATTATGATTGCATTGAACATGTCGTGTTGACCTCGAAAACATATATAAAATTAAATAAATAATTAATAACTGTTATATCATTAAAAATTAATATTGCTTACTCATGTATTAGCATAAAATATATATTTTTTTTAAAATTATTTTGTTTAATATCTATCGTATTTATAAATAATCGCCTGATTTTATATATCATGTGTAGAACGCGTGATTTTGTTCCCAAAAAGTATAAAAAGAGGAGATTTTATAATTATAACGACTTTTTTGTTTTTATATAGTTTTATTATGTTTTTTTTGTAGATATAAATAATAAAGACTTAAAAATTTATCTTTAAATAACCATCATACTTATGTGGATAAAAAAATATTTTATAATAAAATGGTTTAGTAATTAAATATATTTATGTAATTTATTAAAGTTTTTAAAAATTCTTGGAATAATTTCAACAAAGATAATATTATTTGAAAGTCAGAATATAATTACTTCATCTATTATTTTTATATAAAAATTTGATCGTTGCATATAAATACTTTCAATAATACAACCGCCCTAAAATCAGTTATAAATGGTTGACATAACATTACTAAATAAATTTGCTAATCACTTAACAATATCATAGATGTGGAAGGTTGATTGAAAATATCGTCTTGGCAAGTTGATTCATTATCTTAAAATTTAATTATTATTTTTTTAAATTAGAATAAAATACCCTCACAGAACTTTAAATTTTCTTTTATTATAAAAATAAATTTAATATCCTTGTAATCTTATGAATAGGACAGATCTTATTTTAAATTATATTCTAAAAATTATCTAACTATGATTTTTAAAGCCATAAGGGTTTATAAATAATTACAAAAAATGGGAAAAATATTATATAAATCAGAATCGTTAATGTATTATGATACAATATCAAGATAAAAAATTGATCGTGATACTTTTGACAAGTATAGAGAAGACTGTTAAATATACTAGTATCGTATCGAAATACTTTTTTAAACATAATATGCATCGTTAACAATTCTGATATAAATATTTTCTGGTTAAAACCCGATGAGGAATCAGGGAGAGAATTTTTAGATAGACATGAATCCACTAAAATTACATCATTTGAAACTTTATTCGTTGAAACCGATATCGTTTTATTGTCAATAATCTCGTCAACTTTAAGGGGTGGATCAAAATAACTTTTTGTCGCGACAAGAACCGTTTCACCTTATATTGCAAAATTATTTTTTTAAAAAATAAGAAATTTACATCGTTTTAAATAGTAGTTGTTTAGATTGAATAAATTGCAACGTATATAATAATTACTAGTGAGATCTTCCATTATAACAATTTCCTCATCTGTTTGAATTGGTATTTCTTTTTTTCCTGAACTAATTGAACTTGAATTGAGTCGGAAAGATTCTTCCTCTTTACTTTTGTTGATAAAATTCTCCTTTAGGACATACATAGAGGTGAGCTTAATTATAATGAAAGATGTATCAATGATATAAAAGAAAATATACAAATTTAATTGTTAACTCTTGAGTAGTGCAAAAATAACGTCATATTTATTCGTTTATATTTTATATATTTATACTTTAAAAAAAAACGATAAAACCAGAAGGAAAACTGGATAACTTTTTATAAATGAAAAGCATGTGCACAGCAGCAAATTTTTAGAGCGAAGTTAAGCTACAAAGTGTAAAATGATAATAAAAATTTTATTTAGATACTCCATTTTTTAAATTTATTTGGCCAAAACGATATGTAATATAAACTAATTAATTAAAAAAAAATAAATGATATTTAAATAGAAGTCAGTGCCGCCTGGCCAAAGCTTGCGTGACAGGAAAAAAGATTTTCGAGAAGGGCCAGGGAACTTGTCCAAAATATTTTTACAAGCCACTGAAATTTTTTTAAGCAGATAATTATACAAAACTATCTGGTTTTCCTTTATAAAAAAATATAATAGTCATACAACTTGTATAAAATATTTTAAGTGGCCAGGCTGAGTAAAAATTATGGGCCAGGTCAAATAACCCTATAGAAAAGTTGCCAGGTTTAGGTGAATCAGGGATACTTTTTCAAATGTAATGAAAATTCATTTATTACAAAGTTACCCATTTAAGCTAACAAAAAATCAATTTGTTTGGATTTAGCTTTTTTAAAACAGTAATATTGTATCTCATCAGGATATTAATTTCTAATATAAAATGCGTTCCATTAAAAAATATAAATAATATCATGTATATTTTATATGAACGTTTTCCAAAACCGGAATGGAACACAATCAATAAAATATCCTTGTTCCAAATCCCTGTTAAAATTTTCAATATCATCATAATATTACTTGATCCATTTTTTCTTGAGCTAATTGGTAATTTCTCTCTAATAATTTGACGAGATCTGGGTGATCGTGTGTGTGGTAAGGATCATTAGATAAATCAACATTATCCATCAAATGGGAACCAAAATCCATCTTAAAATCCCTGCCTCTTCTGTCTTTCAACAATTGACCGACACTTCTTTATATAATAAAAAAAACAAAGATTAACAAATTTAATTGGTCAGAATAGATAGAGCACCATCCAAATGCCAGGTATAAAAAAGAATTAAATATAAATCGAAAAATTTGAGTTTATGCGTTCGCGTGAGTGAAAAAAAATCCTTCTTATAATATATTGAAAAACTTTGATTTATTTCACTAGTATATTCATTAAATCCTAAAACTTTAAATATGCTACATTATAAAAGACATGATAGGGAATCAAATAATAATTATTCGATACCAATAATATTGCAAATCAGAAATTCATTGTGAATCAAATATGAAATACTATATTTGTTCTTTAAAAAAATAAAGCTAACTTGAAAGCGGATAGTGAGATAGATTCTATATCGATTGGCGCTATGTTCAAACCCTTTTGTAAATTTTTTTCGGTTACGATATTTCGGATATCTGCATAATCCGGGAATGTGAAAAGGAAGCTAGCTTGGTTGATCATTTTTTCGATCGCGCTATTTATTTCAGGATAGTCCGTAACTATATTATATAATTATCAAGTTTTAAACCAGCTTTTATCTTCTATGAAATAAAAAGCTAACTTACAATATACTATCCATTTTTATTTAAATTAATATTTTAATCATAAAAGCATTTTAAAAGTTTAGGTTTAACACTCGATCCCTGAAATATTACCCTCCCCCCTTCTTTTATAAGTCTAAAAGTTTCAAGTTTCTATTTAAAAAAAAATATATACAACCTTTAAAAGAAAGTTTTTCCCTTATAACCCGCCCACAAGAGAAAGATCGACCCTTGAGTTTACGAATAAGTCTCCAAACGTTGAGGGCTTTGCGCTCTAACTTATCTTCCACGATATAAGGCGAGTACTCGTTATCGAGATCATTAAAATCTAATTCCTTCTCCCGGTTTTCTTTAATAGCGTTTTCCAATTGCTGAAAATATTTTGTTTTTCGTAAAAATGCAAATAACTGTTGGATTAGTTTGATCATTCATTTATTTAGTCAGTCGATATTTGTTAATAAACCAATCCTTCTTATATTATTTATACAATTTTGCTTTATTGAATCTATTTCCTTTAGAAATATTTTCAGTTATCAGTAATAGGCTAAAAAAATTGGATTAATTATAGAAGGGGTCTGGTATATTTTGTTTGAGCTGATTTTTAAATCAGATCCGTGATTCAATTCGATATGTAATTGAAGGGTTGTGCATCAGACTAACAAATCGAAGGTTTCTGCCAAATTGTAAATAAATATATTAGTAAAAAAGTAAACTTTTAATTCATTCTCCAAGCGATTGATTCGGTTTTGTCGATCTTTTAATAACTCAATATTTATTTGCTTAGGGCCTAATTTTGATTTAGTGCCAGCTATACGATCGGGCCCAATTTGAGATGCTGATATATATTTATGTGTAAGACTTTATCATATTACTATTACGCAAAAAGCATAAATTGAATGCAAAATTAGAGGAATGTTAATTTGGATATATTCAACTATTTTATCAATTATACGTTAACATTTCAATCAAGAGCGTCACCTGACATTTTTTTGAAGAGGCCTGGGGGGTCATGTGCAATGCTTGGTTATTCAAAGGAGAAGTTTTAATATACCCCAAGTGTACCTTTGGGGAACTAAGTATTTCCGTGGAGGGAGGAAGAAAGTAATGAAGGCCACGGACCAGACCAAAATTTAAATTTTTTATATTTAAAAAAATTCCTAGCTATGCTTCATGCCAAATTTATTGTGCTTATAATTTTATTTTATAAAGGTATCATATATATGTTAAAAAACATTATCATAGATTTATTTTGCAGAATAAATGCTAATATCATTGTTGATAGCTATAATTGAATAGGAGGGATTTAAGGGGGTGACATATCCATTTCGTTTTTAGCCAAGAGTTTATGCATGATAGCTTGCTGTGTCTTATTATAAAACGTGTCTCTTTTGTAATCTAGCTGCCTAGTTTGTAAACCTATAGTATATTCGCTGAACATATAATAAATCAAAATATAATAAGAGTCGTTTTTACACATTTTGTGCGTTTGTTGGTTTTATAAAATGTCAGCTGTGATTTCACTGGTATAATTTTATGGAATTTAGTTCTTTATGCCTTTGAATTTGAAATTTAAGTGAATATTTTTGATGCTTTGATAAATATTTACTTAATTATATGATTTACTAACTTGAGTTTGATAATTATTCTGTAATATGGATTGATTTACTTATATGTACTGCACCATCCATATAAGCCAAACCATTATTTTTCATAGGTTAATATATTTAATTTAGTAGGAATTGAACATATCTTCAATATAGGTAATCTTTGGTGAATTGTGCCAATCTTCTGGTGAAACTTTCTGAAAGTGAGAGATTTTAGAGAAACATGGAAATGGAATAAAAAGGTAATCTTAAAAATTATAAGAATTAAATAGATTTATAAAATATTTGAATAATATCTTTAACTTCTGCAAACCTACATTTTGAGGAAGAGTGTCGAATAGACAAAGGAATAATGGGCATACTTTTCAGCTCAGGGCTCAATGGATGATAAAAATATGATCTCCCCTCTCAATAATTAATCCTAAACCTAATATTTGAGTAAATGAAATGTTTGATGTATCTATGTTTTTAACTTCAAGAAAAAGCCCCCAAACTTCGTATTCAACATTTACAAGATCAATGCTTGCTAAAAATTGGTCTCGTAATTTTTCATCTATATTATCGGTATACTGATAGTTTACATAATTCTTTAAGTAGACTAGAAAATTGCCTATTTGTTCATTTGGCCCTCGTCTGCATCTAAAACTTTATTGGGTTAAAGAATATTATTCTTCTTAAAACCTTATTTGCAGCCTCTACAAAATCCTTATACTTCAAATCTATCAATTTCTTTGGGATATATATCTCTCCAACACACCTAATCTCTCCACACCAAAAAAGTCAATAAAGTTTATCTTCCTCCTCTGTTGTTTTTAACCTATAAATGGCTTCTACATGAGCTAAGTATAATTTAATATCAATTTCACTTTTGTAAGATTCTGATAATTGTATTCATAATATTTATAAGGTTAAGTCAACAAATTTAATCAATATAACAAAAATATCATAATCAATTTAATGTATTTTTATTAATACAAAATTTCATGTTTAGTAACTGGAAATTAAACACATATCCCCTTTTAATCATTTTTACATGAATTCAAACCAAACCCAGTGAAGAGCTATTGAGGATTCAAGTGCATCAAAATTTTGGAGTCCCCTCAAAAATGTTCAAAAATAAAAAACTTGAAACAAAAATAAATATCTAATATCTACCAAGATCAAGAGGAATAAATAATTAATAGTTGGTCCAATAAACTAAATAATCAGAATAGCAGTTAACAAGATTATTATCAGGGTAAAGAAAAAAAATGTACAAAATGTAATTTTCAACATAAATATCCAGCTAAATTTGTGACTTGCCACAAGTGTGTGAAAAGGCCATTATGCTCGTTATTACAAGAGCATTGGGGTAAACTCATTACTAAATACAAACACAATTGCAGTATGAACATAAATAATATGAGAGAAGGGAATGAACAGTGGTATAATCACTATAATCATCATGATAATTCACCAGACTCGATATACCAGGTATTAGAGAAAATGATGAACAGAGTCAAGATAACAGCAAGAATGAAAAATTTATGGCATAATTGAGATTTAATAGGATAATCATCTCTAAGAGCATATGGAAATTCACAGCTAATCGTTTATGGTGAAACAATTGTTAGGATTCAAGTGAAGGTCATCTTCAAGTGGTAATAACAGAGTCGAATTTATTTGGATTACCATGGATTCTAGCTTTCAAAATAAGAATTCCGAGAATTATTAGAATACAGAAGATTGAAGAGGACTTGGAAAATAGGTGGGAATACTTATTGGTTAAATATAGAAAAGCTGATGAAAACCCGGGTTTGATCACAATTTCAAGGTGGAATTAGATATAGACCCTAGTGTTAAATGGAGAAGACAATTTTTTAAAGATTTATAGATAACTTTTAAAATAATGCCAAATGACAAGCAAAAAGAAAATTAGTAAAAATATGAAATACATTTTTTTTTAAATGTGCACAAAATATGAATTTAATTTATTCTTTTTATTATCACACTAGTAGATAGCCAGTCAAAAATGACGGGGTGTGATAATTTTTTTCTTACTTTTATGATAGTTGTTACCTGATATTTGAAAATAATATCCAATTTTTATTCTTTATAACCCCCCCCCCTTCACGCCAGGTTCAATCCATTAAAACTAAGTGTAAATACTATGGTTTGAGTCAAAATATATTTAAAGTTTTTACTTAATAATATCAATATCATTTGTTAAATATTACTGATCACCTATACCTAATATTAAAAAAAATTCCCAAGCAAGGTACGCCATAATAATTTTGAAAAAAATTGTTCCAAGGCCAATGAAAGATCATAATAATTTTGTTAATTGAGAACTGAAAAAAAATATTTAAAAAATCATAATGAATTTATAAATACATTCAAAATCAGATTTTCATGGGCCTTAATTTTTTGATCAGACCGAGCCCAGGACTGCAAAAAAATTTGTTTTAGGCCACTGTCTGACCCATAGTTAATAATAAAAAAATTTGCAAGCATCCAAGCTGATAATAATTTTCCCCAAGTCCAGCCCAAAATAATTAATAAAAATATTTTCCAAGTCCAGCCCAACCCATTGTAATTTTAAAAATTTGTTCCCAGCCTGGAGATAGGTAAATCTCTAAAAATCATCTCTATTTTTTATTCATTTTAACCCCACTCACCCCTACTTTAGACCAAGGCCAACCCATTAAGACTAAGAGTGAATACTATTTTTTTGAGCATGAGCCTTGGTTTTTTGATCAGGCCTGGCCATGTCCTAAAAAAAAAATTTCAGGCTAATGTCTAACTCATATTTAAAATTAAAAATTTTTTAAGCATATGACCATAATAATTTTTTTTTCGCAAGCCAGGTCCAAGCGCATATTAATTGTGAAAAATATTTGCCAAGCCCAGCAAAACTTATAATATTTAATTTTTTCCTTGGATCCAGAAAAATAAGTCCAATGTAAGGGGTTTATAAGAATTAAATCTGTCTTATATCTACATTTTTTTGCCATTCTATATTATTGAGAAAATTTTTCAAAATAATTTATTATCAAATGTAGGGGAAATATCTGATTAACCACCCATCATTCTACTGGTTAATTCCTGGCATTTTTATGAAATTCATGAATACATATTAAAGTACCATGCCTTTTATAAATTAGTGAAAAATGTTCATCCTAATTTAAATTTTAAACAGACAACCAACCCTCCAAATAATATGTGATTTATTACTTAGGTACAAAATATAAAATTAAATTGAAGACCTTGTTATTAAATTACAATAGAAAAAATAAAAAGATATTCTAAGTTAACAAATAATAGGAGGTTAATTCAAAAATTATATATAAGTAAAACAAAAAGGTTATACATTTAATCAAAAATGTTATAATAAGTTATATGAATAACATATATTCAACAATTATAAAGTGATGAGAAAATTTACAAAACTATGGAATGCATGTAAAAAGGCATCTTCAGAAAAGATAAGAGAGATATTCAGTTGAAAATTGCATGAATAACATGGAATAGCCTATACAAAGCAAAAATGGCAAAATTCTAAAAATATCAGCTATGCTAATGGTACTTGAGTTGTATTAAATAACAAAACCAAAATCTGCTTCCATAATAAAAATTCCATTGATTTACCAAGTTTCAAAATTACAGACCTAAGATATTTCATAAAAGTGATAATTCATAAAGCATTGCTTTTAATTTAATTCTTCCATCATCAAATTAAGGAGAATATACTAATTTTTTGTCAAACTTGATGATCTATCAGTTAGTAATCATATAAATGCAAATATTTACTTATGCATAAAGATTACCTAATTAAAAGATATATAATTGTATAAAATTCAAATATATCCATTCTTCAATAAAATCTTTATTGTAAGAAATATTTGATAATTTAAACATTGATACTGTAAAAATTTAAATATGAACCCTTTGATGAAATGGTTGGGCTATATTTTTTGTCTTCTAGTTAGGTATCTTGGGTATAATCATCATTAAAAATATCATATATAATCAGATGCCATTATAACCCATTGATTTACCAAATTGCAAAATTATAGACCTATGATTATAGATAGATAGAGGATATTATAATGAAATCACATGGTCAAGTCCGGCTTCCTATATATCATTTTGCCAAGGATGGAACCACCAAGTTGGATTTAAAAAAATGATCTTTGCTGGCGAACCCAAATCCAACAGATTTGTAAGTGATGCTCTTGCCGATTAGGCCACAGACGCTTTTCAAAAAATAAATTTGTCCAAATGAAAAATAAATAAATTACAAATTTGATACTAAGAATTCTAGTATATATGTAATGGTAGCTTAAATAAATGAATGTTTGATATGTGATATTATCATTGGACTAAATAAGCTATGGTTTATTATTGGACCGAATAAGATATAGTTTAAAAGAATAATATTGGCTATTACGTTGTGACACTGTGACTATATATTATGATAGATTATAGATATTATCAAACCCCAAGGATTAAACTACCAAGTTAGATTTTTTAAAAAATTCAGATTTGTAAGAGATGCTCTTGCCAATTAGGCTATAGACGCTTTTCAAAATTCACGATTTTTTAAATACTGTGACATGGCTTTTATATATATTATAGATAGATAGATATTATCATCTCCCCAAGGATGAAACCATCAAGTTATATTAAGAAAAAAAAATGATCAAAAAAAATACATTGTTGGGATTCGAACCTAAGTCTATCAGGTTTGTAAGCAACGTTCTTGCCGATTAGGCCACAGACACTTTCAAAATTGACAATTTTTTAAATATATATTATAAATTGTGAAAGTGTGACAAGGCTTATATATATATTATTATAGATATTGTGATATTTCATATATAAATTTAAAATTTTTCAGGCCAATTTTCATGACTTATTATTAAAAATAAATAAAACAACCATTGGCCGGATCTGGTAATTCTATTATAATGGACACAAAATTTTAGCCTATATTTATTGTTAATCATATTTTGATCAATTAGCATTATAAAAAGTGATGTTAAATATTAATATATTTAGAATAAAATTTTAAAAAACTTACCAAATTGTTTTGATGGATTTAGTTTTGAGATATTTTTATCAGTATTTAAAGAAATACTTAGTTCAAATAATTTAAAATAAATTTGTTTTGTTTGATTTGGCAAATTATTTTCTATAAGTTTCCGAATATCTTTAAAAAGATTTTGAAGATTATTATTCTCAAAAATTTTTGGTGATGTATTTTTTAAACATTGTTTTATTAATTCTGCTAAATGTGAATTCTTTTGTTCAAGAAAATTGGAGACTACTTTGATAAACTATAAAAATTTATCTTTAAATAATTTAATTTATGTTACTCTTTCAATTGATAATAACTCAGGATTTGAGTTTTCTATTATTCTTTCCTAAATTTAAAGTATTTTTTTAAAAAAATATTATATTACTAAACCTCAACAATTTCTTCTTCATCTGATGAGACAAGGTCGACAACTAAGTGCTTCAAGTGCTTCATAAATAAAATAAATACGATACCAAAAGAAGTAACCGTTTAACCGAAATTGTTTCAGCTGTTTTATATAATCAAAGACCTGCCTAAAATGAGCGGACGGAAATTCTATGAAGGCCGTTAACCCTTCATAAAATTATGCTGATTTTTTTCTCAAGGATACCAACAAACCTTGTACCCAAGTGTAATTTAACAAAAATGAGTGGAACTTACCCTTTCATATTTTGTAATAGTGAGATTTAGTAATGAGTATTATAAAAGATTTTTTTCTCAAGGATACCAACAAACCTTGTACACAAGTGTAATTTAACAAAAATGAGTGGAACTTACCCTTTCATATTTTGTAATAGTGAGATTTAGTAATGAGTATTATAAAAGATTTTTTTCTCAAGGATACCAACAAACCTTGTACACAAGTGTAATTTAACAAAAATGAGTGGAACTTACCCTTTCATATTTTGTAATAGTGAGATTTAGTAATGAGTATTATAAAAGAAAATATAATTTAGTTGGACGGAAATTCTATGAAGGCCAACCCTTCATAAAATTATGCTGATTTTTTTCTCAAGGATACCAACAAACCTTGTACCCAAGTGTAATTTAACAAAAGTGAGTGGAACTTACCCTTTCATATTTTGTAATAGTGAGATTTAGTAATGAGTATTATAAAAGAAAATATAATTTAGTTATCTTATCTATTTTTAAACCCATAGAATAACCACATCAGTAATATAGAATTAGTTAAGAATATTTAAATCCATAGAATTAACACATCAATAATATAAAATGAATTAAGAATATATAGTAGTTTCCATTTCATCGTTAATTTTAATTCATTGAGTCTATAAATAAACAAATGATAAATAAAATTAAATACTAATTCAAAAAACAGTACAACCACTTATCGATAATACTAGATCAATTAATAACATTTGTTGAGTCCCAATCAGGGTTTAACATTTGCTCAAAATTCAAAAATCTTCACAGATCGTTGCTCTTTTGAAGATCAAAATATGCGAAGATTTTTTCGCTAAAAAAAATTTTGAGCTTGCTCAAAGAAGATTTTTGAGCAAAATAAAAAATATTTTTTGTAAAAAAATCTTCTATAATTTTGAGAAAATATTTTGAGAATTTTATAATAAAATAAAATCTTTTGTAAGGAAATCTTTATTAAAATATTTTTGAAATTTTGATCTTAAAATTTTTTGGTAAATTCTTTAAAAATAAAATTTTTGATATATATTTTTTTTTATTTTATTATTATGTTAATGAAAATATTTTTTTTGAATAGGTTGTGAATGTGAGAATTGGTCATTATACCGACTGCATTTTTTTTAATATTTGGAATAAGTAAAATAGTGATTATTTTAAAAATGTAATGTCATAATTTTAATGTTTTATATTTAATGTAAACTATAAAAGTGACAATTGTCATAATACTCATCTCAGAACCTTTAAAAATAATTATAATTAAAAAAGGCTAGTTGAGCATGTTTTGAGATGGTTTCAGTGATTGTAAAGCATATAAAGGTGACAATTGTCATAATAACATATGTTTTAATTGGAAATAGAGAAAAATGATTATTTCAACATGAATTAATATAATGTGTAAACTATAAAAGTGACAATTGTCATAATATTCATAACAGAACCTATAAAAATAATTTTATTTTTAGGTATTAAATAGGCGAGAAAAAATTTTTTGAGCATGTTTCGAGATGGTTTTAATGATTGTAAAAATTGTCACAATCGTTATTTTTGAACTTTTTTAAAGCAAGTAGATAAAAATTTATTAAATATAAAATTAAATGTGGATGTACCATAGAGCAGTGACAATTGTCATAATCGTTATTTTTGAACTTTTTTGAATTTTTTTGAAGCAACAGAGTAAAATAATAAATTGTAAACATGTTAAATTGAAATTTAAATGTGGATGTACCATAGAAAAGTGACAATTGTCATAATCGTTATTTTTAATCTTTTTTGAATTTTTTTGAAGCAAAAGGGTAAAATTATATATTGTAAACATGTTAAATAAAAATTTCAGTGAAGATGTACCATAGAAATGTGACAATTATCATAATTGTTATCTTTGAACTTTTTTGAATTTTTTTAAAGCAAATAGGTAAAAATATATATTGTAAACCTGTTAAATTAAAATATCAGTGAATATATACCATAGAAAAGTGACAATTGTCATAATCGTTATTTTTAATCTTTTTTGATTTTTTTTGAAGAAATTATATATTGTAAACTTATTAAATTAAAATTTCATTGAAGATCTACCATAGAAAAGTGAAAATTGTCTTAATTGTCATTTTTAATCCCTTTTAAATTTTTTTGAACTTACAGGGTAAAATAATAAATTGTAAACTTTTTAAATTTAAATGTGGATGTACTATAGATAAGTGACAATTGTCATAATGGCCATTTTTAATCTTTTTTGAATTTTTTTGAAGCAAAAGGGTAAAATAATAAATTATAAACATCATTAATTAAAATTTAAATGAGGATGTACCATAGAAATGTGACAATTGTCATAAACGTTTATTTTAATCTTTTTTGAATTTTTTTGAAGCAAAAGGGTAAAATTATATATTGTAAACATGTTAAATAAAAATTTCAGTGAAGATGTACCATAGAAATGTGACAATTATCATAATTGTTATCTTTGAACTTTTTTGAATTTTTTTATAAGCAAATAGGTAAAAATATATATTGTAAACCTGTTAAATTTAAATTTCAGTGAATATGTACCATAGAAAAGTGACAATTGTCATAATCGTTATTTTTAATCTTTTTTGATTTTTTTTGAAGAAATTATATATTGTAAACTTATTAAATTAAAATTTCACTGAAGATCTACCATAGAAAAGTAAAATTGTCTTAATCGTCATTTTTAATCTTTTATAAATTTTTTTGAACTTACAGGGTAAAATAATAAATTGTAAACTTGTTAAATTTAAATGTGGATGTACCATAGATAAGTGACAATTGTCATAATGGCCATTTTTAATCTTTTTGGAATTTTTTTGAAGCAAAAGGGTAAAATAATAAATTATAAACATCATTAATTAAAATTTAAATGAGGATGTACCATAGAAATGTGACAATTGTCATAAACGTTTATTTTAATCTTTTTTGAATTTTTTTTAAGCAAAAGGGTAAAATTATATATTGTAAAATGTTAAATTAAAATTTCAGTGGAGATCTACCATAGAAAAGTGACAATTGTCATAATCGTTATTTTTAATCTTTTTTGAATTATTTTGAAGCAAAAGTATAAAATTATATATTGTAAACATGTTAAATTAAAATTTAAATGAGGATGTACCATAGAAAAATGACAATTGTCATAATCATTATGATCATTTTAGAATTTATTTGCTGAAACGAGCAGGTTTTTAGCTGAAGCCCATCCATGGGCGGCCTAGCTTAATAATTTTAAAAAGTGCGAGCGAATCGGTTACAAAATTTTAACAATTAGCGGGCTAAAAAATTTTAACTTTAGTTTATTATTTAAAATCTATTAGGTAAACATTAAAAAGAATCTATGAATATAATTCCCAGGAAATAAAATTCCCATTTTTTAAGATATTAAAAATTACAAAATTAGTAAAATAGTCACTATTCTTAAATCTTTCTACATCTACATGTTGGTACCAATTAACATTATATTGTTTATTATATATAATCTTTTAGATTTTTCCTCACAGGAAGAACCATCTTATTCTCAAAATATTTCAAATTCAGTTTTATTTGGTATAACAAATAATTCTTAACCCAATCAAATAAATTTTTCTACAATAAACTCTGATACCTATCATAAACCACAAAAGAAATATAGCAATTGGAGTCAGGAAAAAATATAAATAGCCATAAACAGAATAAGAGGCTATCCGTCAAACTCCCTGCTTCAAGGGGGAAAACGTATCGGTTTTGGGTACCATTACAGCAATGAAAATTAAAAAAAAATTTGAATTCAATTTTATAAAAAAAAAATTATATAATACTTTTTTTCAATCTGGTGCCGCCTCGCTGGCACCAGCAAATTTCATTTTTTTGAGATTTTTATTTTCTTTAATTCATAAGGCAAAACATTAAATAAAAATAAATAAAGGAGGGAGAGAGAGAGACAATGGGAAAAACGAAAAGAAAAGAAAATGCATTTTTTATATCTTCATTTAACATTTGATTTTTTATAAATATAAAAAAAAAACATTAAATAAATGTATCCCATCCAAATTTATAAATGGGGGTTTTATTTGGCCTCAATAAAACAATTATTTTATTCATTTTTTTTATTTTATATTACATTAATTCCTGATTTTTTATTTCAAAATATAATAAACAAGTGAAAATAAAAATAAAAGGAAAAAACAAGAAAGTTAAAATTAAAAATTACAAAATTTTTTTTTTATATATAATGCAAAATAAAAAAAATCTCAAAGATATTCTAAAGGAGCATTTTTTAATCGATTCTTCTGATATTATCCTATTAGGTACATCAGTCCTTTTCCCATTATACAAATTCACAATGAAATTACAAAAAAGTAATATTGTAATAGGTGATTTTTTTGCTTCATGGCTAGAATGCAAAATGGAGCTGGAGGAAATGGATAATAATTTATCTAAAAGTATGTTGGAATGTTTAAACATTAGAGAAAGCTATCTTTTTCAAAATGACGCATTTCGTAGTGCGATATATATGGATCATAGATTCCATTATGAAAATGGAAAATATCCTTTGGAAGAAGATAAAATATTGGCCAGGGTAAATTAATAAATTTATAATATACATCTTTTTATTTTAGGAACATATATTTGCAACTTGGAAACAATTGCAAGCTATTGACCCTCATGAAGAAAATACAACTCTAGTTATGCCTTCCACTAGTGATTATAAAAAAACAAAACTTGACCTTTACATTGAGCGTGATTGCAAGAAGGGACCTATATTTTATGAATTATGTAATAGCGATATCAAGCTAAAAATAAAATCGTTATTATACAACAAAAGATTGCCATCCTCACAAGATATTTTGCAATATTGGGTTTCAAGAAAACACCAAGATGCAGAATTATTTAAATTATCTCAAATAATTCTTGCTGCTCCTTGCACCCAAATCTCAGTTGAGAGAGCATTTAGTGCATTGGCACTAACTGTAACCTCTCTAAGGACAAGATTAGACAAAGATATACTTGATGATATTTTAATTATATAGCTTAATCGTACATTGTTAAATAATGTGATATTTTAAATAATTATTTATATAACCTATTTCATTATAAAGTTATTGTTTACATTGAAATTTTAATAAATAAAAATTCATATATATAACTGATTTAGATTTTTTGTATGAATAGTATAATCAGAGGGGGGCGTATTTTACTAGATATATCCAAATAGTAGTTTCTAAGATCTAAAATTGATTTAAAAGATTAAAGAAAAAATATTTTTAAATTTGTTGTTCCCAAAAATATCATGTTTATATTGATGCATCTTTCTAGTTCAACTCCGTTCCGGTTGGCTCTAAAAATTTAACATATATGATACTATTATCATCTGCCCAGAGGTTTAAGTGTTTCCCAACAAGATCATATTAACCTAATTTAAAAATAATGGATATGACTATGAGTAATGTGATAATTTCAAAATATATATATTAAAATAATTTCAAAAGGGAGTTGAGAATTAGATATGTCACTTATCTATGGTACATATTCACTGAAATTTTAATTTAACATGTGTACAATTTATTATTTTACCCTTTAAGTTCAAAAAAATTAAATAAAAAATTAAAAATGATAATTGTCACTTTTCTATGGTAGATCTCCACTGAAATTTTAATTTAACATGTTTACAATATATAATTTTACCCTTTTGCTTAAAAAAAATTCAAAAAAGATTAAAATAAACGTTTATGACAATTGTCACATTTCTATGGTACATCCTCATTTAAATTTTAATTAATGATGTTTATAATTTATTATTTTACCCTTTTGCTTCAAAAAAATTCAAAAAAGATTAAAAATGGCCATTATGACAATTGTCACTTATCTATAGTACATCCACATTTAAATTTAAAAAGTTTACAATTTATTATTTTACCCTGTAAGTTCAAAAAAATTTAAAAGGGATTAAAAATGACAATTAAGACAATTTTCACTTTTCTATGGTAGATCTTCAATGAAATTTTAATTTAATAAGTTTACAATATATAATTTCTTCAAAAAAAATCAAAAAAGATTAAAAATAACGATTATGACAATTGTCACTTCTCTATGGTACATATTCACTGATATTTTAATTTAACAGGTTTACAATATATATTTTTACCTATTTGCTTTAAAAAAATTCAAAAAAGTTCAAAGATAACAATTATGATAATTGTCACATTTCTATGGTACATCTTCACTGAAATTTTTATTTAACATGTTTACAATATATAATTTTACCCTTTTGCTTCAAAAAAATTCAAAAAAGATTAAAAATAACGATTATGACAATTGTCACTTTTCTATGGTACATCCACATTTAAATTTCAATTTAACATGTTTACAATTTATTATTTTACTCTGTTGCTTCAAAAAAATTCAAAAAAGTTCAAAAATAACGATTATGACAATTGTCACTGCTCTATGGTACATCCACATTTAATTTTATATTTAATAAATTTTTATCTACTTGCTTTAAAAAAGTTCAAAAATAACGATTGTGACAATTTTTACAATCATTAAAACCATCTCGAAACATGCTCAAAAAATTTTTTCTCGCCTATTTAATACCTAAAAATAAAATTATTTTTATAGGTTCTGTTATGAATATTATGACAATTGTCACTTTTATAGTTTACACATTATATTAATTCATGTTGAAATAATCATTTTTCTCTATTTCCAATTAAAACATATGTGAAATAAGTATTATGACAATTGTCACCTTTATATGCTTTACAATCACTGAAACCATCTCAAAACATGCTCAACTAGCCTTTTTAAATTATAATTATTTTTAAAGGTTCTGAGATGAGTATTATGACAATTGTCACTTTTATAGTTTACATTAAATATAAAACATTAAAATTATGACATTACATTTTTAAAATAATCATTATTACTTATTCCAAATATTAAAAAAAATGCAGTCGGTATTATGACCAATTCTCACATTTACAACCTATTCAAAAAAAATATTTTCATTAACATAATAAAATAAAAAAAAATATATATCAAAAATTTTATTTTTAAAGAATTTACCAAAAAATTTTAAGATCAAAATTTCAAAAATATTTTAATAAAGATTTCCTTACAAAAGATTTTATTTATTATAAAATTCTCAAAATATTTTCTCAAAATTATAGAAGATTTTTTTACAAAAAATATTTTTTATTTTGCTCAAAAATCTTCTTTGAGCAAGCTCAAAATTTTTTTTAGCGAAAAAATCTTCGCAAAAAATTGATCTTCAAAGATTTTTTCCTCAAAATTTTGGGCGAAAAAAATCTTCAAATTTTTATTTGAAGATTTTTGTAAAACCCTGGTCCCAATATTGCACCGGATAAACCCCACCCAAAAAAAGAGAATTCGTCAAAATTTCTTAATCATCATTCTTTCGCGTAAAATATATAATTATATTATTATTTAATTTTTACAATAATTCATAGGCACAGTGGGGGGGGGGGCTTTGGAAATTTGCCTGATCTCGTAAATTTCATTTCAAGCTAATAACCCCCCCCCCCCCCCCCCACACACACCACGACCTTCTCTCTTTAAAAATTTCTACAATATATATTACCTTTTATTTTCATTTAAAAACTAGGACTTCACCGATCCACAATTATTTAACCAATCCGATATATATTTCAAATGGCACCTATACTAATTATTTAGAATTAGATTTTTTGTCATTATTTTACATAATATAAGATAATTGAATAACAAAAATCGGTGTATAAATATTTTTAAAGCGTTTTAATCAGAATATTTACTTATCCCGGTATATTTTGAATTGAATGTGTTCAATTTTGACTCCTGTCACCTTACCACGTGCCTTATAAGATGACTGCTATCATAAGTTCAAAAATATTCCATTTTTTATAAATATTTAGGGATTATTATTTTACTGTTAAAAATTAATTACTAGCTTCAAAAACATTGGTGACCATTTTAAAACCATACTATAAATCTGATATCTAAACCAAAATATAATTGATGTTAGTTAGGTAGTTAACCTTACAAATTAATATATTAATCATAAATATCTATATTATAATTTTTGTCATCGTTACGTCATGTCATCGGTACGTCAGGTCATCGATACGTCATGTCATCGGTACGTATTTTTTTATATTTTTTTTATTTGTTGATTTTATTTTATTTTATTCATACAGATGAATGGAATTGATGGTGTTGAATTGATAAAAACTTCCTCAAATTTGTAAATATGAATAAAACTTTTTATTTCACTTTATCCTTTCTTTTTTTTTTTAGATTACCTTATCAATTTTCATCTCATATTATCAATTACACATTAATGAAATCTTTTTATACTCATATTTTTCTTTCATAACCAATAATAAGAAGATAACCAAGTATATTCAAATATTTAAATATTCTTATCCTAACCTATTTATACTTAATAACATTACATTCATCATATTATTTTTTAACTTTTAGAATATCATAATAGGCTTGATAAGTCCCCCAAAAAATTTTTTCTGATGATAGCCAAACCTTATCAATTCCTTTAATTTAATTTAATTTTATTATTTTTATAATATAATAATTTATAGCTTCTTTTTCCCCCTCCTTTTTAATCTTATTTTTTAATTACCTTACAATTAATTAACCTTAACATTACATTCATCATGTTATTTTTTAACTTTTAGAATATCATAATAGGCTTGATAAGTCCCCCAAAAATTTTTTTTGATGATAGCCCTCCAACTAATTTGTTGATTTTATTTTATTTTATTCATACAGATGAATGGAATAGATGGTGTACACGTACCTAACATACATGAATTGATAAAAACAATATTCCCTCAAATTTGTAAATATTAATGAAACTTTTTATTTCACTTAATCCTTTCTTTATTTTTTAGATTACCTTATCAATTTTCATCTCATATTATCAATTAAATATTAATGATCTTTTTATACTCATATTTTTCTTTCATAACCAATAATTAAGAAGATAACCAAGTATATTAAAATATTTAAATATTCTTATCCTAACCTATTTATACTTAATAACATTACATTCATCATATTATTTTTTAACTTTTAGAATATCATAATAGGCTTGATAAGTCCCCCAAAAATTTTTTTCTGATGATAGCCAAACCTTATCAATTCCTTTAATTTAATTTTTATTATTTTTATAATATAATAATTATACCTTCTTCCCCCCCCCCCCTTTTTAATCTTATTTTTTAATTACCTTACAATTAATTAACCTTTATCTTATTAACATTACATTCATCATGTTATTTTTTAACTTTTAGAATATCATAATAGGCTTGATTGATAAGTGCTCCAAAAATAATTTCTGATGATAGCCCTCCAACTACTAGAAATATGCATCTAATATTGACCCATCTACCGGTTTTACATTATTTTAATGTTTGTTTAATTTCAACAATAGCTTATTTATATTTTTGCCTGATTTCTTTATTTGTCTAGGCTAACCCTAATCCCTCACATTGCTACAAAACATGATGAATATATTATTAAAGATAAGCAAAGAAAATAATGACGATTTAACAAACGCCTTACCCGTTCTAGAGTTACTGGTAGACAAAATAATAAAGAACTACGCTTGAAATTAACTCCTCTGGAGGTTTATTTATTTATTTTATCTTATATTATATATATATAATTAGCATATAAGTTTCATTAGTGTTTAATGGCACTTTTATTTAAATAGATAGCATTTTTTTTATATTTAAAATAAAATATAGACAAATAATTTGAGAAATGCAAGACATACATTAAATTTATCCGAAAAGCTACAATAAACCTATATAATAAACAAAAATTTATTTTTTATATATAATTATAATTGATCATATTACCAAAAAGTATAAGAGTCGGTTATTTTTATTTTATTTGTCATGATTCTCTAATAAGTGGTTTGCCCAGGCCTTCCCAGTTTCCCTTCATACCGAATTCACATGTTTTTTTTTACATCTTAAACTTATTGGTAAATCATATAATTCCCCTTCATGTGATGATAAACAATTAAAAATTTAACTATCTTCTAGGTAGGAAAAAATTTTCATAATTATATTGGATACGACTGGGCTTGGAACCTCAAAATTTATATTAGCTTGCACCTGACATGGGAATATCCTTAATTGAGCTGGGCTGGATAAACTTTTATAATTATATGCTTCCTAATATTGTGAGGGATCTGGCATGACATCTATCGTAAAAAAATGAATAAAAATCTAATTCCCCGTCATTTTTGACGGGCTTTCTATAATTAAAAATATTAAAAAGTTAAACTATTAAAAATCCTAATATGAAGAATTATTATTTAAAAAAAAACACTTATTGAATTAAAATTAGGGTGTGAAATTAAAATTTTTTTTTAAAGAGAGGGAAATGTGAATAATATTATTGAAAATATTAATTTATAAATAAAAATAAATTTAAACACTAAAACGCGAAAAAATAAATTGGACACTAAAACGCTAAAAATTAAAACGCTAAAAATATTAATAACAATCTTATTGATTTATCATTCTTCACTTATTTTATATCCAACTTGATGAATTATTATTTTTCATTATTCGCAACTTACTGATGATAACAATTTTGAAAAATGTTAATAATAACAACTGAGTACTACCAAGCAAGCTATATGACAAAATCATGATTTATGGAGACAACTTTCGATAAGGATATCAAGCTTACGATTTAAACTAGCCAACGATTAAGATGTGACTGATGCAACATTGACAACCAAAACGATAAACCATTTGGACAACAAACTCTCTATGACTGCTTAGATAAACTTATGAGAAGGCTTTTTTAGTAGAGGGAGAATATTATATTATAGAAATTAATAAATTAATATATTATATATTTTGGTTAATAAATAGTATATGTTTATAATGTAACGTACATTCATTTAATTCTGTTTATTCAAATCGCGCATTCATTTAATTCTGTTTATTCAAATCGCGCATAGTAAAAGTAAATAAATGAACATTTTAATATTTCTTTATTTTAGTGTTCTGAGGTCTTCCTTTTTTCTTTCTTCTAAAATTAATAAATATTTAGAAATATCCAATGAACACATTTTTATACCTATAATCTCCTCTACATTAGGTAGCTGTGCATTAACCTTATTCAAGGAACTCGATTCTCTTATTCGTAAAATCAATTATGAACACAGGGGAGGTTTTTACCTTAGGGAGACTCTCCATTGCCATTTATAAATCGAATTACATCAGTTTCATTGGGAATCTCTTTCCTAAAGAGATAACATAATTTTTTTTAAAAATCCTTTTTACATATTTTATTTTTTTTATATATAATAATACACCTTTTTACATTATTTAATTTTATGTTCTTATATTTTAACATATGATGGTATTAAAATTATGATGAAGTATATATGTTATATTTATAATACTTGTATTATATATAATTTATTTAAATAAAAAATTTTAATTTTTCTCACTCTTTATTTTTCCACACAAATCTAAAATAAATTTAGTTAATATTTTGTAAATAAGACAATGATATTTATATTTATTTTTTTAAATAAAAATAAAAAGTATTTTTTGTAAGAGTACATTTTTGAATAGATTTTTTATTATTCAAATTGATAGAAATTTTTTTTTATAAAAATAATATTCAAATTTTTAATTTTCATAATCTCCAAAAAAGATAGAATATAAGAGATTATCATTCAAATTTTTTTTTAGATTCTTAAAGCGAAGATTTTTTTGAATATGTTTTCCGAATTCTCATAACCATAATTTAAAATTGTCGAATAAGTAATTTAATATTTGTCAAGTGATATGATGTAATTAAAATTATCCTTAAATAGTTGGTTGAATGCTTGATTTTACCCCATCTTATTGCAATTCAAATAAAACTAAGTTTTATCTTAACATAACTGCTCTCTTCTTTTGCTTTCAATGTCAATTTATATCTCCTGAGTGATTTAGTAAATATATCGTCTGCTTAACTGATTTACCGTTTTAAAACTTATTTTTAATTTAAAAGTACCTTCTCTATTTAATTTACAATAAAAACATCATTTTAGTATTTTATGCCTTACCAAGAGTCACTAAAAACAGAAAATACCTTTTTTGGTTATAATCCATCTTTAAACTCAAATATCTTCGGTATCTTATTCAAATTATAAACATATTTGGTAATTCATTTAAAAATTGAAACAAAAAGGCAATCTATATTTAAATTTAAAAAATAAATCCAAATTAGCAAAAAAAGTAAATTGCAGGTTTCCTAAAAAATGGATTAACTGTACGGTAGGCCGGGGTAAAGCTATTGAACAGGGAACAATGTTAACGCGAATAATTTCTTACCCCTTGAGCATAAAGGCTTTAAATTTGGTGTTAAGATGTATTTTTATATCTAATTTTTTACCTAGGTTCATCTTCTGGAAACCTTTCCCGGTTTGACATATTTTTGCAAAAAACCTTTTTTACCCAAAAATTACCCAAAAATTATAAAAATCATCCTCTTGTTTCTTTTTAACTAGAAATATATATAGGCTTAGATTTTGAAAATTTGCACACATGTTCCTTAAAGCCCTAGCTATAAAATAAAATTTATCGTAAGTCTAAAGCTTAACTAGAAGTTACGCAATAACGACTTGTATCAGGGGTAAAGTTGTTATCGGTAAAACGGTTAAAATGTTTCATCTGATTTAACCTGTAAAAAGTTAATTTTTAAATATTAACGTATACACCATATAAAAAGATATTTTTGAGCAATAAAGAATATTAATAAATTGTTACTGTGTTGTTTGGAATAAAATTTTAAGAATAGCCGCAAAATGGAAGAATAAATGTACGATGTGCCTAAAATAAGCACATCCAAAATATGCTATTTTTGTTATAATTATTTACCTTCCGGTATTGTACTGATTAGTTTATAACTTAAAAGTGATGAATAGATGTCAAAATTGCAATATTATATTCATTTAAACAATATAGTTATGCTCAATTTTGTTTTAACCACTTTGCCCTGATGCGTAGCCACTTTACCCTAGGATGGGGTAAAATCCCTATACAGGTGTTCAAACCAAGGAAATTTGTCAAAATATGGGAAAACGATGAATGAACGATAGATATTTTAATATTTATAAACATTTATATTTAAACCGAATTCTAAAATTTATAAAAATGACATGTATAAAATCCATATTAAAATAAAATTAGAAAGCCTAAAATTAAAAAAAATATATAATTAGAGATGAATTTAACAATTGTTTCCCAAAAAGGAGCCATAATTATATGTAAAAATTTAGATATACATATATATGTATTTTTTTTATATAATTATAAAAAAATTTCGCTTCCTTGGCGAAATTCGCCAAGACTTCACTGATGCATAGCTGAAAGGATGATGAGTTGAATAAAAATTAGTATCGAAATTAGAAAAATACGCCTACTTAAAATATTTGAAAATTAGCAAAACTTTTTATGGAGGGAGGGGGTTGACTGCATACCTCCCTATGCGGATCATATCAACATGAGCTCATGGAGAAGAGATAAATGGCACTGTTCGGATCAATATGTTGATATAGATTTAGAAATTTGATTTGTATAAATTTAACAACCTACTTATATAACATCACACAAAGTTTAATTTATTTTAAAATAATCCTCTGAAATATTGGACTATTTTATTATCCTATATGAGGTTCAATTCAATTTTAAACCAAAAAAATTAATGTTTATTGATTAGCATGTGCATAAAATTTATGTTTTTTTTAAAAAAAAATATAAATATTCGAATTGGAATCGAATAATTAATTTTTCGTGTTCATTTGATGATATATTAATATTCGTAATGTGAAAAAAACGAATAACAAATTTTTATGACCGGACTCTGACTTATTTGCATTTTTTTCTTGCTGGATCGGATTTGGAGCTTTGAGGCTGATCCATCGGATAAAATCCCAGACCAAATACAGACTATTAGATTCCAAAATTTTGTGTAGAAAAAAAAATTGTATATTAAATTTTTTATTTAATTTATAATAAAACAATTATATTATATAAAAGCTATATCATTTTCATTTATAAATCGTTATCGAAAAAATAAATTAATTTGGTAAAATGTATTGGAAATAATAGCAAAAAAAAATCAGGACATTAAAATATAAGGCTTTTAGTGAATTATTAACCTTAAATAATAGTTTTTAAAATAAATAGTGTGTAGAAAAATAAATTTATCAAACTATTTTGCAGTCTTAAACATTTAAATATTATTTATATAAATCAGTTAATATGAAAAATTATCAAGGTTATGATAATGTTTCAAAAACGAATTGTAAATAAAATGAAAGATTTGTTTTAAAAATTAGAAAGGTACATAATAAATTATAATATGACTAACATTGCACAAAGAGAATTAGGTATTATAAATGAAATCAATAAAAAAGATTACGTACGATGGTATTAGATGCCACTTTTTAAATAAAATTATTTTACATACTAATTTAAAAATATCTTTGGTGTTTATAAATATTTATATCATTTTTTTAATAATAATTTAATCACCACATTTTTAATATTTATAATTACAAAAAAGTTATAGTTAAATCTCAGATCTATAAAAATGATGAAATACAAATTTGTTACCTTCTAAACAAACAACTTATCTTCTTTGTTAGAAATGAATTATACAATATCTAATTACATTATGATATACAACACGTATAGTTTTTTTATATAATGATGCGAGAGGTGTGTGGATTTCCCCCTCAAAATAGTAATTTTGGATGGGATACAGTGTTTGAGAATGAATTAAAAATAATGATTTTTTTTCATTAGAACTAGGCGTGAGATAAAATTTTGGTGTATTAGTAAAGACCACACCCTCTCAAATTGTTAGCAATAATGACATCGGTGACCGCATCGAATACGAATTGAATATTGTTGGTGTCAGTGGCACAAGTCATATGGCAATATATTTCTTTGTTTGGGCTCTTGTTTTTGCTCTCGAATTGGGCTTGGATGTAGGCCGAGGCCTCGGTGTAATCTTGAGCTCCTACAATAATATATATATTTTATACGAGTTAACAAGGGATACACTTTTTAGCCGATACCCAAACAGATGCCACCGATGCTAACACGGTATCAACCTATAATACCCACCACCGATATCAAAAATATTGTAGTGTTAAAATTAAATTAAAAGAAATAGGAAATAAGCTTTAAAACCTACTTTCTTTTTTTATGTATTTAGAATTAATTATCATTTTTTGAGTATAGGTTAAAATGTAAGGTATAGGCTAATACCGATCCATCTCAGGAGTTGATCATTTAAAAACTGATAAGTTTGTATTTGGGCTAAGTGTGGCAATTATATAGACCTATATTTAAATTAAAATAGGCAGATTTGACCCATATCAATCCTTCATGGGCCTTAATTTTTCATTCAGACCAGGCTCAGGACCCCAGCAAAAAAAATTTTCAGGCTAAGGCCCGACCAATATTTCAAAAAATTATCCCAAGCCTGGCCCAATAATTGAATTTATTGTATTTAAAAAAATAAACAATATTTCAGTGTATTTAGAGGTAATCATTTTGTTTGCAATACTAAATTTATTATTATAAAAAATTACAATATATTTTTTTAAAGTAAGCAACTGTTTTAAATGAGCTAAATAAATAAAAATTTATTAGGCCCATGGCCATTAAAATTTTTTTCAAAAATCCAGGCCCGCTAGAAAATAAAATATTATGTCTGTATTCGGCCCATGAAAGTTTCTGCCCCATAAACTAAATGATAAGTGAAAAAAATTTATTTCTAATATTAAGGAGGATCGGGATCGGATAGCAAGGATTTTAATTTTTTACGATTTATGATTTGGTGCTTTAAGATTTAGTTTTTTTTGCCACCTCGCCACGTGCCCGATTAGATAGCAAAACATACATTAAAACCATGAAAAATAGAAATCTTAAATTTTATTGATTAAAATTGTCAATTTATAGGTGGATAGGGAATACATCAAATTACAAAAAATCATTTTAAACAATATGTCAGATATAATAGTGGTCATTATTAGCACAATTGCCTGTGACCATTCCGAACACCTTGTTACATTGAATCCATTCTTGTTTTTTTTTAAATTTAGATTACACTACGCAAAAACATTCATCTTTTCTATTTCTTAGTTTTTTTAAAATTAAATTTCAGCTTCATTTTTGCCACGTGATCCTGGAAGTAGCAGGCCACTTTAAATCGTTTAAATGATTCGCTTTTAAGCTGAAAAAGATTAATTGGTAGGCTTTAAACTTATAGAATATATATTCGAAGTTTATAAAAAAAAATGAATGATTTTTTTTAATTTAATGCAAAATAATCAGTTATTATTTTAAGGAATTAGGTAAAAGAAATTGTTTTTTTAACCAATAATCCCCTGAAAATGGTCTAATACATTTTCAAAAATTAATCATAGATTATATAGATGTCTGATCTTAGTAAAAATTATAGGTCACGGTCTCCATTATGGTAATAATGAATGAACCATAAAAATTAAAAAAATGGTAATTTAATTATTTTACATACTAAAAAATAGGTTACATTGAATGGAACATTATATTGATAAAAAATATTAAGGTAAGATGGAAAAAAGATAGATATCAATTATCGGAAAATGCATTTTCCTTAATTCAAACCAATTATTCTATTAAAATTCAAAAGATGTTATAAATAAACAAATTTTTTAAAAAATCTCGATGGAATTTATCATAACAAAAAATACATAATTGCGCAAAAAATATCATGCTTAAATTATAAGCGTGCTGAGCACTATTTTGCTCTTCACTAGGGAGAGCCATAATTAATTTAAATTGATTTTAGCCATTAGCTGAAATAATGAATAAAACCTATAATGTTTAATAACCTGTATATTCGGGGAAACAGATAGTCAAGGGGGATTTTTTAATTTTTTCTTCAAACAAATCTTTTTTATTTAAGAATAGGATGATGGAGGTATCCGTAAACCATTTATTATTGCAGATGGAATCGAACAGTTTCAAACTTTCTTGCATACGATTCTAAGAAAAAAAATAATAAATCAAAAATTTAATATACTATAAATTTAAATTTACAATATGCATGTATATATTATCTTTTCTAATTTCTATTTCTTTTTTTCCTTTTAGCCTCAAGAAGTAAGGTGGAAAAGGTTACATATGAGATGTACTATTGGATCCTTCTTATCCTTGACTATATCTAGAATTCCAGAATGTCTATTCGAATAATAAAATTCGTACTCGATTTATAGAATCGCTTAATTTTGTAATCAATTTTATACGAATTGATTAATATATTTATTACTAATTCAATAACGCATAATTCGATTTTTTTAAAAATAGATAAAATTCTGATATTTTCTTGCATAATTAATCGTACATAAAAATAGACGCTCACAAGAATGTAGAAGAGTCCTATTATGTCCCTCTTCTGATTGCATAATCTTATATTTTATAAATACTTATTTGAATTTGTTTTAGCAAATATTAAACAAAAATCCAATCACAATTAAAAAATACAGTGCAAATGCCAGAGAAACTAAAATAAATATGCAAATTTAATTAAGTAACTTTTCAAATGGTTTAACTATAAATCAAGGATATTTTTAATAATTAATTGTCCATATTTGAAAAGCAGAATGATTAATAAATGTACCTCAGGATATACAAAATTTGCCAAATTATACTTAAATATACAATATATGGCAAATTTTCCCGGGTAAATTAGGAAAAATTCCCTCCCTTTATATCTCAATTCGTATTCGATTCGTGTCATTTTTGATACCTACATATAGATATAACGCAATATGCATTCTCAACATCTTAAAAATATAAAATAGAATTCATGATTTCATTTAAGAAATATTCATTCAATACCAATATTAATTAATAAAATTTTATTATAAAAATCAGAGACCAGCAGGCCCGGCCAAGGCCTGAAATTTTTTAAAAAAGATATCCGGGACGAGCCGTATATTTTAAAACCAATCGCCATTTTTAGCGGTAAAAATCAAAAATAAATAAAATATACTTAAAAAAAATCCGGCCGGGTCTGAAATTTTTTTAAAAATAAAATCCGGACTGGGCCGGGCCGGAAAAAAGTTTTGAAAAAAAATCCGGGTCTGGCCGGGCCGCACAAATGGTACCTCTACAGGTCTCTGATAAAAATATAATAAGAGGCCATTTTCTAAATTTATTTTCATATAATTTTATCTTAAATAACCAAAATAATGGGGGGATTTTTTTCCCCTAATCTAAAAAAAGCCAATAATATCAATATATAGACTGATAATTCATTTATTAAAATTCTAAATACATTAAAGTCAGCTGTAGTCAATGTCATTGGATATAGAAAATGCCATTGAAAGGAATTTTTTTTTATTGGTCTTACACATTTCGTCTAAATGTCTTTCACATTGACTTCAATGTATAACTCTTTTAATATTTTTAATGAAACTAGCAGTCTAGTTTAGTGATAATGTATGGGCTACTCAATCAAATTATACTATATATAAATGTATAACATTTTGCACTCATTAACTTTGGTCTAAAATAGGTAATGGCATAAATAATCATGCTAAAATATCTATTTCATTCTATACGTTACCTCCCCAAGGGTAAAAGGACGACAATCATATATTATTAATAATTAACTGTAGTCTCGTCTTCATGTAAAACTTGATCATATTCACTCATAGCTACACAAAAGATTATTGCAGTGACATCTTCGAAACAATGTATCCATTTCTTCCTTTCTGACCTTTGACCACCCACATCAAACAATCTTTGATGTTTTGTTATTTACAATAGAAAATTTTAAACATCATAAAAGAAATGATAACAAACTTATGTTTTTAACAGGGATGTAAACCCTTCGACAAAAAAAAGGGTCCACGTCCGGGTGCAGTAATAAAATTTGAAAAGACCCGGGTCCAGGGAACATAAAAATAATGATTTAAAATAAGATTTTTTTTTATTCATTTATTATTATACTTCTATACATATTCATAATTTACAAATGAAGAATTAAAAAATGAAATAATTTATATTTTAAATGTTTTATTCTCGCACAATCATAATATCTTCTAAAATATCATCCTTGAGATTTCCACGTAAAGTAGACAATATATATTTCAAAGATGAAAATTCACGTTCTACTCTTACCTAAAATAGATAGTTATCTTTATAAAATTATTGTACTTGTGTCGCCGGTACAGCCATGAAGATTCTAGATAAGACATATAATTCTGGATATACTGAAGAATTTTTTTCCCAGAATTTTAAAATATTTATATCCTTATTTATTCTCTTAACTTCTGAGAACTTTACTATAAAGATGCAATAGGCATTTTTTGACCTCCTTTCTATCTGATGACAATTTGATTTTTATTTTCTCTATCTAAAAGTAAAATTTCAAGATCATCAATGTTGCTATCATTTTTATTATTATCACTACAACCAATAGTATTGTCGTAGCCTTCGATATATTGTAAATAAAGGAGTTTTGCTTATGCCATAAATCCTCAAGATGGTGTATTTTTAAAGGAACTAATACACTAGTAAGGTCCTTTATTTGGCACCAATCATCTTCCGACAAAATGACTTCACATACTCCTATAATAAAATCATTACAGAAATTTTTCAAACTTAATAATCGTTCTGGCATCATATAAACTGAGGACCAACATGTGCATTATCATTTAAATTAAAATATTATTAATTGAATTACAAAATAATTCACTTTCAAAATAATCAACGTATTTCTATAACATAGCATATTAATAAATTTACATAATAAAATATTATTACACTGGAAAATTATGATATCAATCTCTAAATAAAATGGAAGTCCAAGAAGAAAATTGAAAGAAAAACGCGAAGATAAAATAAACAAGGGTCCAGGAGGGTTCAGGGTCCGAATTCACATCTCTGTTTTTTAATAAATGATACCAAATTTATGAATTATATTTAAACCTACAAAAATATGAATCAAAATAATTACACAAATCGAATAATAGTATTATTTGTACTAAAAATAATTTCATATTCTTATTTTGATTTTTAAAAAATTTTAAAAAGTGAACAAATAAATCAATTATTAAATAAAAATAAATAAATATGTGAAAATAAAGTTTAAAAAAATAAAAAGTTCCATAAGGAACATGTTGAATACTTCTAAATAATTTGCATATATACGAATAATTTCTAATATTTTTTAAATAATAGGATATTTTCAAATAATACGATTTTTTTCCCCTAATCGGGAAATACAAATTGAAGCTAATAATTCGTAATGGATATAATTATAATTGTATAATGTCATAAACATTTCTAGTTTTTCCACCTTTCCTTTCTATCTATATTAATTTAATTTTAAGCTAGTTCACAATGCTAATTATTAAAGTTTCTATAAGCATTTGTAAATATATAATATTCTACTTGAAATTTAAATTCTTAAAAGAGAAATGAACTTCGACTATCCCTGTTGTTTTAACACGTGTTCTCAAGATATCTTGTTCAGTGGGCTGGTAATCTTTGGCACCTAATCTTTCTAAATCATCTAAGAAGCTAAAATTTATAAATATAACATTTTTAAAGTTAATAAAATAAAATATTAGATGTCCCAAATAGATTATTTGAACATTGCAGTTATTACTATCGGTAGGGTTGTTAAAAAGCCCTATTGGGTCGATTTTAAAAAAGACCCGATTAAGATTTTAGCCAAAATAATATTATGTATACCTCGAGATTTGGCAAACAGAGGTCCAAACCGTTCTGCCATCTATAAGCAAAATCTCTAGGCCTACATAATATTATTTTGGCCAAAATTTTAATCGGACCATTTTTAAAAATCGGCCCGAATCAAGATTTTTAACAACCCTAACTATCAGAATGAATCCCGACCAAAATCATTTTTTGCACCTAATTTGAAAATTAAAGAATTTATCAGGAAAAGAAGAATAGTAATTCCGGGTTACAAGAGAAAATGGATGGAATAGATGAAAGATGAAGGTAATATTCCAGCAGATTGGAAAAGAAGAATTGTAATTCCGGGTTACAAGAGAAAATATTATCCGCCAGATTGTGGCTAGTACAAGGTGAATACGCTCCTGAAACATATAACTAAAAATTTCGAGATAACTTTAGAGAATAGATTTAGAAATCAAGTGAAAATCGTTGACATATAGTTCGGCTTTATATCTGGGAAAGGAACTATGGATGCGATATTTATCGTAAGACAAATATAAAGTATTAAGCGACGAAAAAGAAGTGAAGGCCAAAGACCAGACCGAAATAAATAACACATGACCAATATTAAAATAAAAAACCAGAACGACTTTTTTAAAGTCTTGCAAAGTCTCCTTTTAGACCTAAACAAAAAAATTAGGAACTATTGAATATTTGATCTTGACCTTCTTTTGTTTTTACTATTTTTCGGGTTCTTTTAATTGAAATTAGTATAAAAAAAATTAAAAGAATTAATATTTTTTTAAATGTTGTTTTTCTTATTTTTTTTATTTTACTTTTTGCTGTTAGCTTTATCGGAATGAAAACCTATTGCGTGACCAAGACCAAAGAGTATTTTTTAAATCGGGTTGTCCCGCCCGGTCCTATGTCTTCTAGTTCCGAATTATTTATTTTTACTTAGAAAAAATCACCATTAGAATTGTGCCAATATTTACCGTTTAAAAAAATTCGGATCGGGGCGATACTTTAAAAAAAATCTATCCCATATTATGATTGTTTTTGGGATAATATATAATTTGAATTTCCTAGACCCTTGATGAAATATAGGTATAATATTATTATATTATATACCTTTACCTATATAACAAAATGTAAATTTATTAAAATTAATCTGGAATAATATTTGCTATTTTGTATTTGTGATATAAATTTAAAAAATATATCGATTTTACTTAGTTAAAAAAAAGAATAATATAGTTATTTTATTAATAATAACCTCCCTGCCTGCCTCTTCTTTTCATAAAAAAATTACATTCTATTTTACTATTTAGCGGAATCATTAAGCTGATATTCGTTGGAACGGGAAAAGCATTCTTGTACACCCGAGTCAACCCAGAGCCTTCTCATTGAATTTAATAATTCTTCTGAAAATGGTTCCGTGTCCTCCATCCTACCTATTACATCCATAACCATCTTTGCGTCAGTCTAATATTAAGAAATAAAATAATATGCTTTAATTTTTGTGTCTTATTAAATTCCGTTGATTTTTAAAATGTGTTCGGGCGAGACAGGAATTAACAAGTAGAACCCTATCCCCGGTTCTGGTAAAAGTTCTATTTTTCAGAGAATGTATAGTGTACGAAATCTCCATGAATATATTAGATACCTGAAAAAATTAGGCGAATTTAACCGCAAAGCTGAGAAGGAATTACCGCAAATACATGGCGAAAAAATGATATATCAAATTTTTTCAGGAATCCGCTGAACCATAACGAATATCGGTTCAGATTTAGGTAGTTAAGGCTCAATTTATCAAAAATGAATAATATCGGATCTGTTTGAACCTTTAAAAAACGGCCCGGACCCTTTTTCAAAAATTATTAGAATTGAGCATATTTTTAAAATTTTATCACTTAAGACCCATAAAAATAATTAATGTATATTTTATTATTATTTGCATATATTCCTAAATTTTAATAAATAATATATATTAACGAACAGTGTTCCTAATAAAATAACCTCGAGCCATATACAATTAAAATATTTTCAAGATTCTTTTCTGACAAATTACATCTAAAAGGAGAAATAATAAATTTGATAGTTGAGAACATTAACTTACTTGGACAGCTAGTACCGTCATAAAGCAATATTTAAAAATGGCTATTGATTGATAATAAACTTTACAACTGTTATGATATCAAAATGTTCAAATCTCACAGACATTTTAAGAGGTTCAGTTAAGGGAGTCGTAAAATTTTTGAAGGTTCAGGTAAGGTTTGATTTATGTTAATGTTAATTACTCCGGTTTGGTATGAATCCCCGTTATATTTTTAATAAATTATATTTATTAATGCATCTAGCCATTTCATAATCCTACACAACATCTATATTCTATATTAATATATTATTATTAACTAGCCCTTATCAAACTTTTATAGTCTACACCTAGTTTTAAATGCGAAATTTCATTAGCGTTAATGTTTTTGTCGTAATGTTAGGTATTGTATTCGCAAAAAATGTTTCGCGCAAGTTATTAGTAAGTAATTAACACATTCTTGTCCTTAAACCAAAAATGCCTTCTCACGTGCCCAGCATTTCGTCTTATCAATTTTTTGAAACTATTTAAGTTTATGAACCTTTATTTTGGTATTCATACTTCTCTGTCTATATCTCCCTCCTATAATTCATTTTAAAAAATTAGCAAGTTTGATAGGTGAAATTCTTCGCTTCAGGATTATTACATGTATCAAAAACGTATAAATTGAGAATATGGCTATAATATCAAATAAAGGGATTTTCCCGTTAGGCATACTGGTCATTTCATCCTAGGCAGGAGACACGAATATTGAATAATTTTTGAAAAAAGTTAAGAGATAAGAAATTTTTTTATTTTTTATCATACATACCAATAACGAAATGCTTCCTCAAAAAGATCTCTTTCATTTATATTGCGTGATTTATAATCGGAAATATATAAGCATCAGAAAATCACTACTCTACTCAATGCCATTCAATTCCAATCAACTTTAGCGATTGAACTTTATAATGGCATTGCTAGCTATTATCATGTAGATGTAAATACTAAAATTTCACTTCTCTCATAAAATAATTCAGTTGTACTTAGTACATTTTAGCCCCTCTCTAAACGATGTTAATGATTATTATAAAGAATCAGGCGCGTACGCAAGAATTTGGTCTGGGGGCGGGGGATAATAAAATTTTTAAAGAAATATTATTGTTTTTTAAAAATATCAAGAATAAATTTATCAGGAAAAATATCTATTTCTAATACACAATTTTAAATTTATGTGAATTATAAAATAATTATATGTAAAGAATCACTTAAATGACCCAAAATAGAAATTTGAATTTTTGAGCCTTTACACAAAAAGTTTCTTAGGAATAATTGCATTTTATATGTTATAAATTTACAATGTAAAATCCAATCTTCGTTGTGATTGAGCTAATTTTTCAATTATCTCATCCTTGCTTGTCGTCAAATGCCTATGAATATTCAAAAGATCCAAACCTTTCAATCTACTTTCAGATGTTGAACTTCTTGGTATGTTTTTCAGAGACCTGCAGGCCCGGCCCCCGGGCTGGACAGTATTTTAATATTTTTAAATATACCCGGGCCGGGTCCGAAAATTTTTAAAAAACACCCAAGCCGGGCCTGAAAATTTTATTTTAAAAAAAGCCGGGCCGGGCCTAAAATTTTTTTAAAAAAAGCCAAGTCGGGCCTAAAAATTTTTTAAAAAAAGCCGGGCCGGGCCTGAAAATTTTTCAAAAAAAACCCAGGCCCAGCCGTAAAAAATCTTTAAAAAAAATCCGGGCCGTGCCCTGCAAATGGTACTTCTGCAGTCCTCTGTTATTCTTCTTAAAAAAGAAAATGTTCTCTCATTAGTTTACTAATGGGAAGAGTTTATAAACCCTTTTAATACATTGGGAATTTAATCTAAAATGTGTTTGAAATAATGCAGAGCATCCATAGCATTCTTTTGGGACTATATCAACCATTGTTAATCTTATAAACATAGTAATTCAGATAGTAAGGCATCATAAGATACTTTAACATCTTCATAATAAAAATCTAACAAATTTTTATTTTCTATCATCATCTGAAAAATGTTGGGAAGGCTTTTGTGAAAGTAATATTTGCAGATTAGTAAGTGCTGCATGATGAATTAAAAATTCATTTATTTTGGTTATAAATGTATCTGTATTTAAGATATACTCTTCTACTTATCCTATATTAATGTTTTAACGATGAGCTTGCCTTGCTACAAGTCGAGAGAGACAAATATTAAACACGTATAGCTCTGTTTTTGACTCAACAATAAAATATGAAATTCTTCATCAACATTAGCCCTAATTTCCTTGAGTTCTGATAAAATGTTCTCTGCTATTCTCATCTTCTTAATCAAGTCAATGTCATGTTTTTGAAAAGTAATACTTAAAATAGTTGTATAATTAAATAATACATTCTAATGAGAAATAAAATTTGGAATAAGCATTGAATCCAATAATTTTCTTGCTTCTGAGGAAATATTTCTTTCAGGCCATTGTGATATTTCAGTAATAGCAAATAATTGGCTCTTTTAACTCCTTAAAAGCTGTTACTGCTTGATGGCAGAGACTCTATCTCGTTGGGTTGGACAAGGTTGCAATTTCTTTTTCCCTGTTGGACAAGAAGTTTCAGATATAATAATTATTTGACTAGAAATTCTGAAAATTGTAGATAAATATTACGCCACTAAAAATTTGAAAATAATAAGTAAATATTACACCGGAAAACTTGAAATTGAAATTAATTGATAAAATAACTTAGTAGATAAATGTGATAATAAATACAATTAATATATATATTTAATATGAGATACGAATAAATATTAACAAATATAAATTAATATAAACAATAATATTTTTGAAAAATATATCCAGCATCTGCATTTTTTAGCCCCCCCCCCGCTGCGTACGCCAATGAAGCTACGATTTAGTAAGATATTAGTGTAAACTTTAATTCATCAAATAGGTATTTGTAAAGCGTTAAAAAAAGAAATAATAAAGAAAAATTGTCAATAGGCTTAATTTTTACTTGATCTAGCTTATTGATTAAGATCTAGCTTGGTTAAGAGCGATACAATTTATATTTTAGGGTAATCTTACTCTACCTTACTCTTTAAAAAAAATATTTGTATATATTAGTCGAAATAATATAAAAAATGAATTACCTCTCGATCGCTGTTACCGAATGGAATATTCAGTGTTCCCATGGCTCTCAAAATTGCAACTAAAGATTGTATGGTGTTACTGTAAACTACTGGTTTGTATTGTTTGTAATCTTCCGCTGTAAACCCAGATTCATGAATGATTCTAATAAAGTTAAGGGGGGAGGGTGGTAATTACATTATAATAAAATATTTAGTAAATTTAGATAAGGAAAAAACCAATAATTAGAATTCCAAGTGGGAAAGTGTTAAAGTACTTGGTTAATGCTAAGCCCGGACCGGTCAGAAATATTTAGAATAATGACAACAATTTAAAAATTATATTATAAACACAAGTTTAAATAATGATTTTAGCAACGATTTTGTAGTGATCAAGAAAGATGCCGAATTTGTATTTTATTGATTCGGATTCGAGTCCCAGGCAGGTCGATTTTTTGGTGATAACAATTTAATATTAAATGCGGAGTTACCCATCTGTAAAATTAAAATTAATTGACAAGTTATATTTATTATCCCACTAATCCAATTATGGTCATTGATGTAACAAGTTGTATTTTTTAATATGTATATTTTTTTAGATCGGTCCAGGGTTATCACAAGCTAGAGTACTCCAACCTTAACATTTTAGTTATTAAGGAATAAGAGAGGAGGGGGGGGGTTAAAATTATTAAAACTTATAATTAGTTTAAAAAAAATCAAATGGGAAATATTTACAATAAGATATTATTTATATATAAACAAACACCAGGATAAAAATTTCCATATAATTTCTTTTATCTTTTCGGTATATTAGTTATTTAAAAATTTATTATACTATCCATGATATTATATTATCGATTTATGTTAAAAACATTTTTTGAGCGATGATACATAAATCTCAAAAAAAGTTACATTGAGTTTTATACTTTTATTTTTATAAAATCATATATTTATTTATTTATTGTGATGCCAGTTATTTTTATAATATGAAACGAATCACCAATAAGGTGAATAAAAAAGAGTCTGTAATAGATATAGTGCAAAATCTTATTTATTAAATTAAATCTCTAAATTTGAGACCTTTTAAGCCTAATATGGAGACAGATACCGGACGGTAACCGAGGTAAAAAAGTAAATACCAATAACTTTATAACTTTAAAGCTATATATGTCAAAATTTTATTCCAACAATTTTTATTTGATTTTATTGGGGAAACTACATTTGAATATTTGATATTTTTCGCTCTTATGTAAAACAAAATTTTATAGGATTATCTGATGTCTAAACTAATTAAATTGGGGTTTCAGATTTCTATCTTAAGCAGAAGACAAGTTAGAATATATATATGTTCGCTTAGCGGCCTAGAGATAATAAAAAATGAATTTTCATTCAATTTTTACAGATATCAGTGGCCGATACTCAAAAATGATAATCAGTATTATACATTACGCTATAAAAAAATTCAATAAAAATTTCTTAAACCGATAAAAGAGAAAGAAAGAAGGCGCAGCAGTGTTAATCTTTATTTCTGATAATTTAATTTGCTTTTATAAATTTCATAAATTAATTATATAAATGATAAACACCAAATTCAAAAATAACGCCGGTTTTACATTTTGCCTCTTTTACCAATCTTTGAATGCAAAATTTTGTATGTAGCTATATTTTGTCCCGAATGATTTTAATATGGTAATTTAAGGTTAATTTCAAGATTTCAATGATGAGTTATTAATGTATTTTGGATAACTAATTTAGAAGTTAAATTTAGAATTTTGTTGTTTAGTCATTGTTTTTTTTACAATTTAGTTTCAAATACCCAGGAATTCTAATTGATTCAATTACCCAGAAATAAAATTCGTAATATACACGAAGAAGGAATAAATAGTTCAGCCATAAACGAAAAACTCCACCTACAAAGAAATGATCAGACAAAATCCAGCCAAATATACTGGCATTGGCCTAAAAGGGCGTCCAAAGGTGACGAACCAGGGTAAACGCAGTTTGCAAAATTATCAGAGAAAATAGCGGATCAAATCTTGTTCATTTGACTCAAAATACGAGAACGACAATATACTACCTACAACAGAATGGTTTATTCTTTGGGTTATAAATTTAATAAAGTAAATTCATATTTTTATATTGTAACTGTGTGCCTTTTAGTTTAATGATGGGCTAAGAAAAAACCTCTATTAACAGTTTACCAGAAGAAGCAATAAAATTTCGCAAAAAATATAATTTAGGACCTTTATCGAATGATCAAAAGTTGTTTTTAGCAATTCAAATGAATACTCGCAATAATGTGGTATAGGCAAATGAATTCATTTGATTGTTTAAACCGAACGTGAATTCTATAAAAGTGTAATGGCATAGGGTTGTATGACTGCGAATATGCAAATAACCCTAATTTCGTTGATGGGAACATTAATTCACAATATGAAGAACTTTTCACCAGAGAAATAATTAATAGATAGTAGGGGCAATGATCTTACAAGATAATGCTCCCTGTCATACTTCAAATGATATACCTACTTCTTTAAAAAACCATAATATAAATATTCTAGAGTGACCAGCATCCAATCCTGATCTTAATTCGATTGGAAATACCTCGTGGATGGTGAAAAAAGAATTGAGGCGCAACAGATCAAAGACATTAGCCAAATTAAAGGTGTAAATTAAAAATTTTTGATGGGAAAATGAAACATTAAGCACTGTCAAACATTGTCCAAGACGATGTTTAAGCTAGAGCTCGTAATTAAAGTTAAAAAAGAGTGTCTAAATTTTGACCATTTGTGTGTTTTATGTATTTTTTTAACTCACCAGCGTTATTTTTGAATCAAGATGATAATTTTGTTGATGCCGTAACTATTGAGATATTTAACTTTTTAAAAAATATTTTTCTTGTTTATATGCGCAAATGACATTATGTATATTAAATATTATAATGATGACAATAAATAAAATATTTCATCCTATCTTAATAAATGGTTTAATAATTGCATTGAATTCCAAAAGTAAATCGGCGTTATTCTTGAATTTGGGGGGAAAAAAAAGAAAATATTGATCAATTTTTTTCAACAAATATAACCCTTATTATTTTTTGATATCGGTAATGGATCGGCTAAAATGGTGGTATCGGTAGAACTCTGATATATCGTAAATTTTTCATAAATATGAACAACTGCCAGATTCCCATAATTGTGTTAATATATATTTTACAATTTTTTTTAATTCCATGTATAGTCTACCTAGTGCCTGGCTGGGGTAAGACGGGGGGGGGGTATAAATTTTACAAAATCTTAACTAGCGCTTATGTAATGAGGTATAAGAAGTTCGTATATTTTTTTTATTTTATAATATTAATTAGTAATTAGTAAAACAAAAATATACTTCATTTGTTTGACAATTGTACTTTTCCCAGATTCACCAGCACCTAAATTAGAAAAATAATAATTATTAAGTTATTTTATAAAATATAAAGCCTCATAGACGTAGTTAAAGCCTGAGCTTAAAATAATAAAGAAAATATCAACTTTTTATTATGCTTAAATGATTATTATATAGAATTTATTTCGTAAAGTATGATTTCAAACCTGTAAAGCAGAGACATAAAGGTCGGTAAAACACCGCCCAAAAATGGTCGATTTTAAAAATCTGAGACGTGCTGGACTGAAACGTGTATATTTATTTTCAAATCGGGCGGTGCCTAACATTTTAATCTGTTGCAGAGACCTTCATGGGCCTAATATCATATTTTTTAACGAGCCTAAGCTGCGCCTAGGTTTTAAGATTTTTTAAAATGGGTTTGGACCTAAAATTATTAAATTTAAATTTAGTTTATTAAAAACAGTTAGTTGCTAACTTAAAGAAATATTGCCATTTATTTTCTTCTAATAATAAAAAATTTCAGTATTGTAAACAAAATAATTGCCTAAATATTGTTTATTCTTTATTAAATACAAAAATCTGGGCCAAAAATTATTTTTGCTCAGGGCCTGGGCCGGATTTGGTCAAAAAAATTAATATCAACCCTTATTAAGTGATATTATATCGCATAAAAACAAAAGTGGTTAAGTCAAATAAGCAGAGTTGTTAAAGTAGCGAGCTACTTGTAGCGCGTTAACTTTTTTGGTAGCTATAGCTAATAGCGGCCTTTTTTTGTAATTATTTAATTTTTTAGCGCGCTACTTTTTTTGAAAGTAGCTAAATATCTCGCTACTTACCTACTTTTAAAAAATATAATGAAGGTATTTATTATTTAATTTTGAAATTGAAATATATTTTCAATTTGTATTATAAACCTAAATCACGTGTTTATAATTTAAAATGTCATCGCCTATGGATATCCAAATCGTTGAAAGTGACTCAGACAATAATATTAATGAAATGGAAAATACCAGGGAAAAAAATGTTCTTATTAGCTATGATACAAATTTCCCATTCCCTAGATTTGAAAAATTTTTTAAAATAAATATAAAAACCAAAACTGGCTTCAAATTTATTTGAATAAAACGTAAAAAAAATATTTCCTTAAATCAATCCAGTTATAACCTCAAGAAACACCAAAAGGTAAATTGTCATTTTTACATTCCAAAAGTATTTATTTTATAAGACTGTTCATACCAATAGCTTTAAGGAAATGAAGAAACATTTAAATAATTTTGGTATAGGCGACTCTACATCCAAAAAGACTAATACAATTCAAACCAAATTAATTAATAATCCAAATGTCAATATTTCTCAGAAATTGGCTGATAAAGTTATTGTTGATTTTATAATTGATACAGTTCAGCCAATGTCCTTGGTTGATAATCCATCATTTACCATGATGATTAAAACTCTAAATTTTATGTCGCCAGACCTTAATGAATAAAATAGCAGATAACTTTAAAGTAATGAAAGATGCTCTAATAATAGAGTTATCAGAGATATCATATATATGTACCATGGCAGATAGCTGGACACATAATACTAGGTAAAAACTTATAAAATGCAACAAATTACCATAAATATTTATTTTTATTACATAAATTTCTTTATAATCAAAACTAACTATATTCTAATCTATTTAGACAATAATATTATAAGCAAAAAATAAAACAAATCTGTTTCTAAATTTTTTTTATAAAAAGTAGCTTAAAAAGTAGCTTAGCTAATAGCGAACTACTTTTTTTGACAAATAGCGATAGCGGTAGCGCGCTTTATTTAAAAGTAGCGATTAACAACTCTGCAAATAAGTAAGATTATTTTGTTAAAAATAAAATGGCAAGACTTTTAAATTAAATGTTAAATACAGTGGCTAGCCTAAGACGGGTTTCAAAAAATATTGTTTTAATATAAAATATTTAATGGCGTCCATAAATTATTTTAGTTATGCCGAAAATGCTCTGCCCTCTCTATCAATGTCAATGCATTAAAATATATGGTAAAAAACGTTTAAAAAGGAATATTCATTATATACACACAATCATATTGTGTGATAAAATGGTTAATTTCAGTCATCAAAAAACTTAATATATACAATGTTTTTATAATGTACGTTTCTCGAAGGACCATAAATTTAAAATGATATTAATGCTTAAGTGTTTATACTACCTTCTTACTGTTATATCGTTTTTAGAGGTGGAGGTAAAAGATAAGAAAGAATAACTAACCAGAATGGGCTTTAGAGTCCCCTTGGTAAGAAAAAAACGCTCATATATTCTGGATGATGATTTCTGGGTGGCTCCTATAAATATTTGTAACATATTATTTCGATTTATACCCAGATTTGAATTTTAGAAAGTAATAAATTGAGTATATCAAGTACCGAATTCTTTTTCCGTTATTTCAAAATCAATAAAAACAAATATGAATTGCGAGAGTGATCAGAAATATATATTACAGCGAGTGAAAAAAAGCAGTTTTGTTGTCAGATAATTCATTTTTCAGCAAACATGTTTCATTCTCGCTATAATGATTTTGAACTAACTAATGATGAGATATCACCTAACATGGTCGTAATCAATGCCCTAATTGCATAATTCAATCTTTATATCGGAGTTGTTTTAGCCAAGCTAGCAGAATTTCAGTGGGAATATGGGAAATAGCAAAGCAGTCTCAACCTCTGATAAGGTAAAAGGACCTTTGCCTGTGCCAACCTATATAAGTATGATCACGATAAGAATTTTATCGATTCCGACGAATGCTATGGAAAGAGTTTGGTCTTTCTAAAAAAATCCATTAAAAAAATCGTAATAGACTTGCAATAAACGTGTGCAAAAGTTAATTATCATAAAATGAAATTCATTTACAACAAAATTAATCAGAAGAGCATAAGTTGAACTTCTCATTCTCTGATTAATTAATTTCATATATATATTTCGATCATTATAATTTCAAGTATCATATAAAAGTTTATGCATCAAAATTTAATATATTTAAGACTTCTTTTTTTAATTTTTACTTCATTTAGTACATCTAATTTATTGTAGTAAAGCATGACTCATTTTAGGCTAAAAAATGTCAGATTTTTTTGATTTTTAGCTAGTTTGGAATATTTATTGATTTTTAACCAATTTGGAACATTTTTACAATTCGTTGAAATATCCCAAAATTCCAGGGGCGTAAATTTTATATTGGCAGCCCTCCATAATTGACTTAAGCTCCCAGTGAGAGAATCGTAGACCAACGTTTAAGTAAAGTAAATATAATAAGAGTCAATAGACCAAATCAAATAGATAATTAAATATAGCTTATATCCAGAATATGAACACTTAAGATGACTATTATACTAAATTATTTAAGAGATGGATACATATAGAATAGACAGATTTTAAAAATATTAGATGGTTTAGGAATTGATTCAAATAGTCACTTTATAGGTGTGCAAAACTCTCGCAAGGACGGAACCGTAAATAAATGTTCAAATTTATACTTTATTAATATATCAAACAAAATTACAACCTTATTTAAATACAATCAACATTAATTATTTAATCGGATCGAATGTTTTTCATTTTTTTTGTTACTTTGCCATTCAGTTTTTACTAAAAATATTTAATAATAAGGCTGTGTCCTAGGCGGCTTAATTTGAAAATTTAATTGCTTTTTAGTATAGGCTAAAAAGTATTTTAACGAGGACACCCTAATCTTGCTTGTTTTAAGTATGAACAAGTTTATCTTTTTTAAATAAGTCAAAAAAAAGTCAAAAAAAGTTAATTTTTTTGTATGTGTCTTAATTGTTCAAATTTTCGCTTTATATCTAAATAGGGAGAAAATTAAATAATAAATAACTTAATTATGAATAAACAGTGGCGTAACCAGGATTTTATCATGGAGGGTGGGGGGGGGGTAGGGGGGTTGGGGGGCTTCGCTCCCCAAACCTTCCATTTTTTTGAACACTTAATTGCTTATATTTTTGGATTTGTTAAAATTGGTTTATATTTTCATATAACAAAATTTTAGGGTATTTTATTATATATTTTACATTCCTTTATTTAATCATGTATATATTTTTATTAATTAAAATATTTTCAAAATGTTGATATTTTATATATTACAGATTTTAATATTAAAAATTATAATGCATAAAGACTCTATTTAAAAAAAAGTAATTTTTTACAATTATATAAAATATGTGTAATTCTTATGCAAATAATGGTATTTAAAAAAATATGATGATATTATCTTATAAATAATACTTTTTTTACAAAAAAAATTGATTATATATTAAAACTAATAAAATTTTAATTACTATTTTTTGATTTGAATTTAAAGAGAGATCTACTTTTCTCTGAGATTTTGCTAATTCATCTAGAATCAAATTTTTATCTAAAATAATCTCCTTATAAATATTCAATAAGGCTAATCCATTTAAACGTTTTTCACTGGTTGTGTTTCTTAAATAGGTTTTTAACCTTTTTAAAGTTGAAAAAGACTTTTCATTAGTGAAAGTACTAATTGGCAAGGTAGCTAAAATAATTAATAATGTTTTGATATTAGGCAGGGAATCTAAAATGCAATTACACATGGAAAGGGCCTGCAGAGCATTTTTTGGTCTCAAAGAATACCCTATTCTGTCAAGATTTTTATACCAAAATTCGACATCACAAAGTAACTTATATGAACCTACTAAATCATCAGCATAAAACTCTGAGATTTTTTTAATATCCTCTCGTGTTTCAAGTGTAATCAACAGTTTAGACTCAACCGGCAAAAGAAAATAAAAGCTTTTTAAAATATAATTATGACTAATAAATCTTTCTTTTAATCGAAATAAAAATGTACCAATAAGGGGAATAAAAATGTTTATTTTATAAATATCCTCAATCGTAGATGCATCAATATTTGATCGATTGGATTGTCTAGAGCCTACTCTAGGTTTAAAAATTTCAATTCTAAACATATTAGCAATCTTCTTTACTTTTTCATATATTTCATAAATTTTTTCAT